CCTGTGACCTTTCGATCAACAAGCTCAGCAGCTCAGTGCTTTAACCCACTGCGCCACCGGGGGCTCCTATAGATAGATATAGATGTTATTATATCTATATTATATCAATTATATTATATTATATTATATTATAAAATAATAGGTATATTATCTTATTATAATATATTAGCCATCCGGTGCCACCTTTGCTGTGGCCCAGGCTATGTATATGTGTTTTGTGTGTGTATGTATGTGTATATTGGTGGTTTTGCCCATGTGTTGTATTGTAATTTTTTTTTTTACTTTTTGGCTTTTTAACTCCCTTCTACCCTGTTTTTCAGTGTTCTTTTGAGTGATGGTCATTAATTGGCCTGATAATTGTCTTGTGTCCAAATTTTGTGTCAATTCATCCAGTCGTTTTTGAGTTATGTTAATCTGACAAACGAACATTACTTTTTTATTTATATAGAGATGTATATTATATATTATGTATTATAATATTATATAGATAAATATAGATATTACAATATGTTGTTGTTGATATTATTATATGTATATTATGTTATTATATATTATAATTAACTATAATATATTATTATAATTATAAAATAATATGTATATTATTATAATATATGTATATTATATCATACTATGCATTATAATATTATATAGATAGATATAGATATTATTACAATATATCAGGAGTCCCCAGTGGTGCAGTGGGTTAAACCAATGAGCTGCTGAACTTGCTGACCGAAAGGTAGGTGGTTCGAATCCTGCCGCTGTCAGCCCCAGCTTCTGCCAACCTAGCAGTTTGAAAACATGCAGATGTAAGTAAATCAATAGGCACTGCTCTGTAGAGCAATAGGTATCACCTAGGCAGGAAGGTAACGGGACTCCATGCAGTCATGCCAGCCACATGACCTTGGAGGTGTCTACGGACAACACCGGCTCTTCGGCTTAGAAATGGAGATGAACACCACCACCCCAGAGTTGGACTCGACTAGACTTAATGTCAAGGGGAAACCTTTACCATTACCTTTGTATCAATATGACATACATACATACATATATACAAACACTGACTTTTATTATACAGATAGATAGAGATAGAGATAGATAGATATCATATAGATATAGATATTTCTATCCTACCCTTCTCCCCACAAGGGGACTCAGGGCAGCCTTACATAAGCATCCAATGATGCAATCTACATATAGATTGCAGGGCCTCTCGGTGGAGCAAGGAGCAGGGCCTTCTCGGTGGTGGCCCCTCACCTGTGAATTCACTCCCCGGGGAAATTAGATCTGCAACATCGCTCCTTTCCTTCAGGAAAAAACTGAAAACATGGATTTGGGACCAGGCATTCGGACAATCGGGCAGATGAAGAAAGAACTTTGACGATGATTAGGAAATGATTAATGGATTAGAACTATGGAACTCTGAAAGACGAAACGCTGAGCGCGAGAATAGTTTTTATATGATTTTTATATGATGTGTTATGTACTAGTTGTGGATTGTTTTAATTGTGATAACTGTTTTTAACTTTGGTTTTGTATATTTTGTGTAAAGTGTATAGGCATCGAATTGTGCCTTTTTTGTAAGCCGCCCTGAGTCCTCCCTCGGGGGTTGAGAAGGGCGGGGTAAAAGTACCTGTAATAAATAAATAAATAAAATATACAATACATACAATTAAAACACTAAAAATATATTTTAAAAAATTATCCAGTGTCAACAATCAATTCATCAAAAACAGATTAGCGTGCCAATACACCAAAGCCAATCCGGAAAAATCAATATCGGGATGTCCAAAGTCCAAAGGATGATAAGGAGGATGTGACCACTGGGACAGATTATCAACAATTCTGTATTTTAAAGTCCCACGAGTTCAACGAAGAGCCTGAAGTATAGGTTGTATGGCAAAAGCCTCTTTCTCTTAGTGTTGTTGTTCATTCGTTCAGTCGTCTCCGACTCTTCGTGACCTCATGGACCAGCCCACGCCAGAGCTCCCTGTCAGCCGTAACCACCCCCAGCCCCTTCAAGGTCAGTCCAGTCACTTCAAGGATGCCATCCATCCATCTTGCCCTTGGTCGGCCCCTCTTCCTTTTGCCTTCCACTTTCCCCAGCATAATTGTCTTCTCTAGGCTTTCCTGTCTCCTCCTGATGTGGCCAAAGTACTTCAACTTTGTCTCTAGTATCCTTCCCTCCAATGAGCATTTGGGCTTTATTTCCTGGAGAATGGACTGGTTGGATCTTCTCGCAGTCCAAAGCACTCTCAGAACTTTCCTCCAGCACCACACAGTTCAAAAGCATCGATCTTCCTTCGCTCAGCCTTCCCTAAGGTCCAGCTCTCACATCCGTAGGTTACTACAGGGAATACCATGGCTTTGACTAGGCGGATCTTTGTTGCCAGTCTGATGTCTCTACTCTTTACTATTTTATCGAGATTGGACATTGCTCTCCTCCCAAGAAGTAAGCGTCTTCTGATTTCCTGGCCACAGTCTGCATCTGCATTTGCACCTAGAAATACAAAGTCTGTCACGGCCTCCACGGTTTCTCCCTCTATTTTCCAGTTGTCAATCATTCTTGTTGCCATAATCTTGGTTTTTTTGACGTTTAGCTGCAACCCGGCTTTTGCGCTTTCTTCTTTCACCTTGATTAGAAGGCTCCTCAGCTCCTCCTCGCTTTCGGCCATCAGAGTGGTGTCATCTGCATATCTGAGGTTGTTAATGTTTCTTCCTGCAATTTTCACCCCAGCCTTGCATTCATCAAGCCCCGCACATCGCATGATGTGTTCTGCATACAAGTTAAAAAGGTTGGGTGAGAGGATGCAGCCTCGGTCCGAGCGGCGCCTCGTCTCACAGGCCGAGCCAAATCTTGGGAGGCCCGCCATAGTGCTTCCGTAGCTGAGTTGGACTCGATTAAGGCTTCAGGGTGGGAGTTAGGCCTCACAGGCCCCGAAGTGGGTCTGGGGGCTAAAGTAGGCCTTGACATCCGGGGCTTCTGAGTGGGAGAGAGGGCTCTGACCACGAGAAGGGAGGAGGAAGGAAATGGAGGCCTCCTTGGCCTCCTATTCTCTGTTTCCTCGCAATGGAAAGGGGAAATTGCATCTACACTTTAGAGTTAATGCGGATTGGCACCACTTTTAACTATCACGACGCAGTGAAATGGAATCCAGGGAGTTACAGGACGTCATCATTATCGAGAATGAATCCACTTCAAATCTGCAGAATTCTGGGATTTGTAGTTTAGGGAGGCTGTTCAAGGCTCCCTTCCCTAAACTACAAAGCCATGGAATCTAGAGTTATAGGACCTCATCACACTCGAGAATGAATCCACATCAAATCTGGTTGCTGCCTCCTACAGAATTCTGGGATTTGTAGTTTAGGGAGGTTATGCAAGGCTCGCCCCCCCCCCCCCCAAAACTACAAAGCCATGGAATCCAGGGAGTTATAGGACTTTATCACTCTCGAGAATGAATCCACTTCAAATCTGGTTGCTGCCTCCTGAAGAATTCTGGGATTTGTAGTTTAGTGAGGTTGTTCAAGGCTCCCCCCCCCCAAAAAAAAACTACAAAGCCATGGAATCCAGGGAGTTATAGGATCTCATTACACTCGAGAATGAATTCACTTTAAATCTGGTTGCTGCCTCCTGCAGAATTCTGGGATTTGTAGTTTAGTGAGGCTGTTCAAGGTTTCCTCCCCCAAAACTACAGACCCCATAATTCTGCATTAGGCAGCAACCAGATTTAAAGTGGATTTATTCTCGAGTGTGATGAGGTCCATAGTTTGGCACTCTCTTTGGCAGGGAAGACTAAGGCCTTGTAAAATAACCCAAGTGTGGAGCCATGGCACTTGAAAGTGGTGTCAAACTGCATTAATTCTACAGTGTAGATGCATCCTTAGTATGATGAAATGCTTTGGGAAAGCATCTTAGATTTACTTTCTGGGTTATGGGATATTTCCAATGAGATTTTTGAAATGGCAACCAGATGCTCACATAACTATATAAATAAAAATGTAATGTTCGTTTGTAGGGATTAACATAACCCAAAAACCGCTGGACAAATTGACATCAAATTTGGACACAAGGCACCTCTCAGGCCAACGAGTGACCATCATTCATAAAACACTAAAAAACACAGCGGAAGAGACTTAAAAAGCCCAAAAATATAAAAATACATTACAATGCATGGCCAAAACCACATTTATACACACACACACATATATACACACACAAAACACATATACACAGACTTTGCTACAGCGACACATGGCAGGGGATGGCTAGTCTATATGAATAAAAATGTAATGTTCGTTTGTGGGATTAACATAACTCAAAAACCACTGGACAAATTGACACCAAATTTGGACACAAGGCACCTCTCAGGCCAATGAGTGACCATCACTCATAAAAATACTGAAAAACAGCGGAAGGGACTTAAAAAGCAAAAAAAAAATTACATTACAATGCATGTGCAAAACCACATATATGTACACAAACACGCATATACACAAATATATACACACACAAAACACATCAACACAGACTGGGCCACAGCAACACATGGTAGGGGACGGCTAGTCTATATAAATAAAAATTTAGTGTTCATTTGTGGGATTAACATAACTCAAAAACCACTGGGTGAATTGACACCAAATTTGGATGCAACACACCTCTCAGGCCAACAAGGCACTATCACTCATAAAACACTAAAACACAGCAAAAGAGACTTAAAAAGCCAAAAAAATATTAAAAAATACATTGCAACGCATGCGCAAAACCACACACACACACACACACACACACACACACACACATATATATATATATATATATATATATGCACACAAAACATATATAGACAGACTGGGCCACAGTAATGCGTGGCAGGGGACGGCTAGTGTTTCATAATAGATCTGACAGCAAACAGTTTTATGTGTGGTATTTATAATGCTGTACAATCAAAATGATCCACATTACATCTTGATTATTTATTCTCTTAAACTTTTTTTGAATTTCTCAGGGACGTGTGCGCACAAAGACAGTGAAAAAGGCTGCCCGGGTAATAATTGAAAAATATTATACTCGCCTTGGGAATGACTTCCACACAAACAAGCGAGTATGTGAGGAGATTGCCATCATCCCTAGCAAAAAACTGCGCAACAAGATTGCAGGGTAAGTTGCTCCATTTTGCTCCCTTGGACCACAGCAGGGCCGAACATACAGTGATGAAAACCTCCCTCCAACTCCATGGACTTCAGCTGAGCTTTTGAAACCTGCATCGAAAGTGATTTTGGTCTTGTTTGTGGCCGAATCATTGATAGTGCAGGAACAGAATTCTTGACAGCATTTCCCGTGTTTGGAGGGCCTCCCATCCCTATCAAACCCTGAGCATTTCAGACACAACTATTAGTGAAGATTGAGACAGAGATTGTCTGCATTTACAGATACAGAATTCAGCACTGTTACTCCTAACCTCTTGTCGTAGTTTTTCCTAATGGAAGTAAAGAGACCACAAACATAATTCAGTGCTACTTCTTTGCAGGTATGTAACCCATCTAATGAAACGCATTCAACGAGGGCCAGTCAGAGGCATCTCTATCAAACTTCAGGAAGAGGAAAGAGAAAGAAGGGACAACTATGTCCCTGAGGTAAGTCTTGTAAACAGGAGTTGCTTGAATATCAAGCTCATGGGTATGATTGACCTCTTCTTTTGAGTCACTATATTAATTTGAAATGAAACATTGGTCTTAGATATTTAATACATTGATTCATTATCCTCTCCTGGGAGTATGGCCACCTTAGGAAAGTATATGAAATGGCTTTTCTAGCCCTTATCTGTAAGAAAAGGCTTTCTGACTAGCAAAATGTGATAATGAAACATTACCTGTCAATTTTAGTATGGATTGGAAATTGTGATTTTCAGTCTCTGTTTGGATATTGATTTGTTGGTGGCCTTGGAAGTGGAAATAGGTATTTGGCCATAAATAAAGAGAACAAAGGTACAATATTAATGTGTGTACACACAAACATGTTGCAGACAACAACAAAAAATTAGTATGGGACTAATGGCAAATTTTGAGGGTGACATTGGGATGGTCCTTTAGAATTTTCATGCATGGAGTGAAGAGAACCTGTGAAAACATGGAATCTTGATCTTTGGCCCTCAGATCCTTGTTTCTGATAGCAAGCCTTTACATATCTGAGATTGTCTTGATGTTCTTCATCAGACCTGCATTCGAAAGTGATTGTGGCCTTTCTCCTGTGGCCTGGTCATTGATACTGCAGGAAGAGAATTCTTGAAAGCATTTCCCGTGTTTGGGAGGCTCATTGCCATCCTTTCCAAACCCTGAGCTCTTCAGACATTTTGCCTTTTGCTGCCTAGTGAACAGAGTGCTACAACTGGGGTTGTGGGCCCCAAGAATTGCTCAGCATTGTCTAGGGCTGATAGGAGCTGCAGCTCCTCAATAGCTATAGGCCACATTTTGCCTGCTTTGGGCATGTGTATTAATATGTGCTTGAGACCGTTTTAGGAAGCCCTTGCCACAATTAGTAAGACTTAAAAAATGTTCCCTATTAATGGAATGGTCACTTTGGCTTTGTGTTTATTTCTGAGGTCATGAAACGCTAATTTTCACAGAAGTAGAAAACACTAGCTGTGGGTCTTTTTATATATTATATATCAATAATATTCCCTCCCTATTGAAGTGAGAACAGCCCCATTCCTCCCCCCTTTAAAAAAGACCTTAAAACTCATCTATGCTCCATAGCTTATGGAGGAGCATAGGCTATGGAGTCAAGCCCTCTTGACTGCCTTCTTATTAAGGGATAACACAGTGTAGGACCACTTCATACCTGTATATCTGTATATTATTTTGATTTTGCATTTTATGTATTTTGCTCGTTTTATTGTGTTTTGTGTTATATTGCTTGTATTGTTTCAATGGGCATGGCCTCATGTAAGCCGCACCGAGTTCCCCTGGGGGAGACAGAGCGGGGTATAAATAAAGTTTTATTATTATTATTATTATTATCTCTGGATTCCATCTGAACAGTGCTTGGTTATTGCATTTTAGGAGGTCCAGACGTCACCTCTCCCATAGAGCTTATTTTATATGTGCTTTTAATTATGACCTGTATTTTATTGTGCTATGTTTTTATGTATATTAGCTTCTGTTTTTATGGTTGTATACAGCACCGAATATCTGCCTTTTGTATCTGTCAACCACCCTGAGTCCCTTTGGGGAGAGAGAGTGGGTTAGAATAATAATAATAATAATAATAATAATAATAATAATAATAATTATTATTATTATTATTATTATTATTATTATTATTTGAAACTCAAGATGAGTCCACAGGCTGGCTGTTGAATTGGATCACACGTCGGACACTTCCCAAGTGTCTAGGACTGTGTGGTGTATAGGTGAATCTTGTGTGCAGATCCCAGTAAGGTGGCCTTCTGCAGCTGGCAGATGGTAATTTTGTCAGCGCCAATTATGTTTAAGTGCAGGCCAAGATCTTTAGGCATTGTACCCAGTGTGATCACCACTGGGACCACCTTGACTGGGTTGTGCCAGAGTCTTTGTAGTTGAATCTTTAAATCCTCATATCATGTCAGCTTTTCCAGTTGATTCTTTTTAATCCTGCTGTCACCTGGGATTGCAACATTGACAATCCATGCTTTGTTTTTTAACAAGACCATGAGGTCTGGAGTCTTGTGCTCCAAAACTCTGTCTGTCTCAATCCAGAAGTCCCAGAGTAGCTTGATGTATTCATTCCCTGTAACTTTTTCCGGCTTGTGATCCCACCAGTTCTTTGTCYKAGGCAGATAGTATTCGTGGCACAGGTTCCAATGAATCATCTGAGCAACAYTGTTATGCCTCTGCTTGTAGTCTGTGATTATAATAATAATAATAATAATAATAATTATTATTATTATTATTATTATTATTATTATTATTATTATTATTATGTAATTACTTCTGATCATTTTGTCTATTCTGATTATTGTTATACAACATTTGTGTCTTTGGTGATAGCTAGATTTTAGGCTAAGACTTCTAGGAGACTAGGACTGAATGTGGAGCAACATTTCACCTTTTTAAAGGCATTTAACTACTGCATGGTGCAACATAAAGCCTAAAGGTGTGAAGGAGGAAAAAGCTCTCCTTCATCACTGCATTTTGGCAGGTTCTTTTCTGTTCTTTAGCTCCCCTCAGCTTTTTAAAAACCACATTGTTATTTTTAAGTGGACAAATGAGTTAACCTTAAATAACATGGGTGTACTTTTGGTGTAAGATCCCATGTGAAGGAAATGATTTAGTAGTATCATGGTTCTGCGTTGAAAAATGATGTAGAATTCTGTAACAAGCTGTCTGCAATATTTTCAGGGGGAAAGTAAAATATGAACAACTGCCCAAAACTGTTAAGTTGTTTCTGATGGAAGGTCTAACAAATTGGGATGAAGGCTTTTCCATCAATTGGCCTGACTGTCAAAAGCCAGTTGGGATTGCTGGTTACAGATACCATCTCTTTCAGAATAACATGGGCGAGGAATTACTGTATTTTTATCAATTATAAGACAGACTTCTTCCCCTATATATACATCTCTAAAAATGTGGTGCGTCTTAGAATCACAGGTGTGGTGGTACTGAAATTAGGGTGCATCTTACAATTGAAGAAATACAGTGCCTTTCCAGTGTCTTTTTATGTTTTGTTTTTATAGGTAGTGGATAAACCACCTGTTCTTTTTTTCTCATTGGACACATCTAGCCTTTAGAGCCCTGTATGTTTATCCAAGAAAAGAGTCGTTCTGTGGTTCCTGAGAATGTTTATTTCTTTCTCAAAGTGTGTATAGTGGGCCTTCTGTGTGCATGGAGGTTTGGTTTTAGGGCACACACATTCCCATTAGGTTATTTGTCCTGGTCTAGTGTTTATGGCATTGAATGTTTTCCAATATCTGTTGTTAACCAACCTGAGTCCCCTCGGGGAGATAGGGTGGAATATAAATGAAGTATTATGATTATTCTCTCATGGAAACCAAAATGTATGGTATCCATTATATACCTTGGCATTGTCAAACAGTGCCCCTGATATAAAATAGCCAAATCAAGATTTGCTTTTTAAAATTTTACCAAGAATATTTTCAAATCATGGATTGTTTTTCCATCTCTGGATATCCCATTGATTTCGTGCTGGAAAGGATTACTCCAGATTGTAACAGGCATTTAGAAATGGCCACAATTCAGATTGGAGCTGCATTTGTAGTATTAGAGCCTCATATAAGTGCTAGGTTGTTAGGGTATGTATTACTTTTGGGTGTGCATTGTTTTCTTGGACTGCCTTTCTAACTAAATCAACCTCATGTTTCTCCATCAGGTCTCTGCCTTAGATCAGGAGATAATTGAAGTGGATCCTGATACGAAGGAGATGTTGAAGCTGCTGGTGAGTGGGGGAGGCCTGTATGGTTGGCAGCCAGCTACAGGCCTATTGGGGTGGAGTCTGTAGGTTCTATTGGTGGCAATCATCAATCTCTCTTGTGAATGACTAGAAGGCAGTTTGTTTTCATGATAGATTGTGGGATGGGTTGCAGGGGAAATCCAATCTTTTGCTGCTCCCTCCTTTATATATTGGTGAAATATTGCCCTAAATCAATAGGCTGTTAGGAATTGAAGTTCCAAAGACTTGGAGGAGGGCTGAAGTTTTCCCATGCCTTCTAAACCCATCATTTCTACTCCTGAAGTGATAGTTTGACTACTAAATATATCTCTGCATAGCAGTGCAAAATGGCTGAGACCAGATGTTTTTTGTCACTTCTGCAAACTATATATGGCCCAAAAGCAGGCAGGTGTAGCCTTGTATTGCTCTGCAAGATTGGAAAATAGCTTCAAAGATCACTACAGTTGTCCTTCCCCAATCTAGACAGTCACACGTTAGGTCTATTACTCCGGTTTGACACGTATCATTGATAAACAAATGTGCCCAGAGTCTGCTTGGTGTGCTTTGGATAAATACTTTGTTTTGTTTTTTTTCCCTTCCAGGATTTTGGCAGCTTGTCCAACCTGCAGGTTACACAGCCCACTGTAGGGATGAACTTCAAAACCCCACGAGGAGCCATCTGAAGCCATTCCTGTACTGGCACTTTTCCAATAAATGTATAAAAATAGAACATTCACTTGCTTGTGTTGATATTTTGCAGTTTTGAGTTTGTGGCCAATATAGTGGGCATAGAATCGTCTGTGCACTTCTTCGATTGGGCTAAAATGTTGTTTGGGGAGAGAGTGTCAGTTAAGAAGCACATATAAATCAATAAGCAGCTAAATTTCACTGTATTCATCAGAATGTCCACTAGGGGGTATATGGGAGCTTTCGGTTGCTGTTTTCTGTTGACTTGGCAAGCATTATCAAATGACGAAAGAATACATAATAATAATAATAATTTTATTTCTTATCCACCTCTCCTTGAGGTGGGACGCAACATAAAACACATCACCATGAAAACATTCAGTAAAATACATGGAACAATTTACAATGCAAAGTTTAAAATTTACTGGGTAACCCTGCCAGATATGTAGCCCTGTAGATCAATGCTTCTTATTCTGTGGGATCCATTCCAAATGGGATCCACTTCATGCAACGTGCCCCATAGAGGCTTCTGTCCAACCCGTAGGGCAGGGATCCTCAAACTTTTTAAATAGAGAGTCAGGTCACAGTCCCTCAAACTGTTGGAGGGACAGATTATTTTTTTAAATATTATTATTATTATTACTATTATTGTATCTGCAGCATGGGCCAGCCAGATTATAATTAGAAAAAAAAAACGAATGAATTCCTATGCACACTGTGCCTATCTTATTTGTAGTGCAAAAAACACTTTAAAACAATACAATAATTAAAATGAACAATTTAAACAAATATAAACTTATTAGTGTTTCAATGGGAAGTGTGGGCCTGCTTTTGGCTGCTGAGATAGGATTGTTGTGTAAGTAGTTTCAGACTTAAGTTGACCCTGAGTGAGGGCTGGGTAATTTATTTATTTATTCTATTTCTATCCCACCCATATCAGCCCGAAGGCGACTCAGGACGGCGTACAGAGTCGGCACAATTCGATGCCATATATAAAATACATACATAAATAAAAAGCAAAAACGAAACATTACAGTACATTTAAAATCATAAAAACAATGAACAATAAAAAAATTTAAAACTATATCCTCTCGTTCAAATCCTCATCTGTTCCATCGTCTTGGCCATTCCTGGGTCATTTTCAGATTCAAGTTTGTCTGTGCTGAGGTTCCGAAAGCTTGCTCGAAGAGCCAAGTTTTCACTCTTTCGAAAGGTCAGGAGGGAGGGGGCTGATCTAATATTCCTGGACAGGGAGTTCCACAGCCAAGGGGCCACCACAGAGAAGGCCCTGTCTCGTCCCTGCTAAATGTACTTGAGAGCAGGGCCTCTGACGATCTCAAGTTCCTGGAGGGTTCGTAGGAAGAGATGCGTTCGGATAAGTTGGGCCGGAACTGTTTAGACTAGAGGCAAGGAATTCGGGGAGGAGAAAAGAGGAGAGCCAATGCAGCTACTTTTAAAGTCCCACTTTTTTCCCTCTCACCTTTGGCTCAGTGCTTTGCCACCCGTTGAGTCCCCTTTTCCACATAGGAATGAATGGGGAAATTGTGGTAGAGGATTGCACTTGGGAGAAAATGCCCTGGCAGCAATGGCAGCCAAGAAGTGAGAATCAGGAGGTGCAGGAAGTGCCTGCAGGAGGAAAAGGTTCATGCCAAAGACTTCAGGATCCCACCCTGGGATCCACCCTGGGGGCTGAGATAGGGACACCTTTGTCAGAAATATTAACTAGATATTTTTAATTGCAAAAATGTTAGTCCAACACTGAAAGGGTTAGATGCAAGGACTCTGCAAAAGCTGCAGTTTCAATATAAGCAAGTGTGTCTGTAGCTTAGTAACCGTTCGTTTGAGGGAGCCCTCAGTGTTAATTCACCTCTGTGGAAGAAGGGCCTCAGTGTGTTAGTAGGCCTCAGTGTTAGTTTGCCTCAGTATGAGAACGCCTCAGTGTGAGAAAGGTCTCAGAGTTAGTAGGCTCCAGTGTGTGAAAGGCCTGGTGTGCAAAGGTTTTGGTGAGAGAAGCCACAGGTTGAAGGCCTCGTGTGTAAAGCTGTGTTTAGGATGCTGTGTGTATAAAGCTACTGTGTGAAGCTCCTGTGTAACTTTGGTGTGAGAGGAGGCTCTGTGAGAGCGAAGCATGAGAAAGAAACTCGGTGTGGAAGCAAATAAGTATAAAGAACTTTGTTCATGTTATGGAAACCTTGTTCTTGTCAATATTATTTTGCTATAAAGAAAAGCCTCCTATGGAAGAGACAACACTGGTTTATGTGTTTTTGTTTTTGGGCGACTGGTGCTGGGTCACGCTGCTGCTCATAAGTTACTCTGCTGTACATTTACGAGGAGGGCCTTTCATTCATAAGCCCACTCGCCCAACAACCTTTGATTTCCAATGCTTCCATGCAAGCCAACTATTGTGTGTTGTCTTATTGAAAATGTTGTATATTTTATTGTCTGTTTTTATTTTAATTTCTTGTATTGTTATTATTGCTTGTATTGTGTTTGGGCTCAGCCTCATGTAAGCCGCACCGAGTCCCTTGGGGAGATGGTAGCGGGGTACAAATAAAGTGCTATTATTATTATTATTATTTTATGCACAAAGTGGTTTTTAAAAATCTTTAGGACGGCGGCAAGAATATAATACGCGAAGTTTTGGAAACTAAATAAAACACCAGACATGGAAGATTGGATAAGTAAATTAAGAGAAATTAGAGATACAGACAAATTAACCTTTCTTTTGAAGTCGAGTTCGGGAAGCCCAAGAAGGAAGATGGATTGGACACTTTTTGATGTGTATGAAACAAAAAGATCTAGAAAGATATATATTTTTTAAAGAATACACATATAGAGTTACATTCTATGTTTAAATCTTTAATAAAATCAGGAAGATACAGAGAAAATACAAATAGCTAAAGCACAGAATGGAAGTCAAGGGACACATTTTTACTATTTTTTAATACTATTTTAATTTTTTATCTCTTTTTTTTCTTTTTTCATGGACGTTTTGTTATCACGCTTGATTTATGACCACTCTAACTCCCTAATCTCTTTCTGACTTCTCTGAAAAATGAATGTTCTACTCTCCATGTAAACCCCCACCCCCTTTTCTTGTTGATATATTATTTTTTTAAAAAATTCTTTTTGTTGTTGTTCATTCGTTCAGTCGTTTCCGACTCTTCGTGACCTCATGGACCAGCCCACGCCAGAGCTCCCTGTCAGCCGTCACCACCCCCAGCTCCTTCAAGGTCAGTCCAGTCACTTCAAAAAATCTTTAGGACATTATAAAATGCGTGTGAAACAATTGGAATTCATATTCAATAATAATAAAAATAACAGTAAATAATGTTACCTGCCGCTCCTCATGGCTCAAGGCGGGGTACAACACATCCAAATAGCAAAAGACCAGTTTGAGTAGGGACCACTTAACCAGGGGCAACTTTGACCAGAGACCAGTTTGACCAGGGACCACTTGACCAGCTTAAGCAGCTGAGGAGGAAAATGAAAGGGCTGAGGAAAGGTGGGAGTTGGAAAACGAAAGGGGCTGTTAGGAATGGTGGGAGTTGAAGTCCAAAACACCTGGTGGGCCAAAGTTTACCTATGCCTGCATTACAGTCATTCTGTCTCCCATGCTTTTTAACATCTACATGAAACCACTGGGTGAGGTTATCTCTACGCAGATGACACTGAACTCTACTACTCTTTTCCACCTAACTCCAAGGAAGCCCCTCGGGTGCTGGACGAGTGTCTGGCCGCTGTGGCTGTCTGGATGCGGAAGAACAAGCTGAAGATCAATCCCGACAAGACAGAGGTTCTCCTGGTCGATCGTAAACCGGATCGGGGTATAGGGTGGCAACCTGTGCTGGACGGGGTTACACGCCCTCTGAAGTCACAGGTCCGCAGTTTGGGTGTCCTCCTGGACTCATCACTTACGCTTGAGGCTCAGGCATCGGCAGTGGCTGGGAGGGCATTTGCACAATTAAGACGCGTGCGCCAACTGCGACCATACCTCGCAAAGGCGGATCTGGTCAGGGTGGTCCACGCCTTAGTCACTTCCAGATTGGACTACTGTAGTGCACTCTACATGGGGCTGCCCTTGAAAATGGCCCAGAAATTTCAATTGGTCCAACGGGCGGTGGCCAAGTTGTTAACTGGTGCTCCTTACAGGGAGAGGTCAACCCTCCTGTTTAAGGAGCTCCACTGGCTGCCATTCATTTTCCGGTCCCAATTTAAGGTGCAGGTTTTTACCTACAAAGCCCTGAACGGTTTGGATCCGCCTACCTGCGTGACCGCATCTCTGTGTACGAACCCACACGATCTCTTCGTTCATCTGGAGAGGCCCTACTCACGATCCCACCTGCATTGCAAGCGTGATTGGTGGGGACGAGGGATAGGGCTTTCTCGGTGGTGGCCCCTCGACTCTGGAACTCTCTCCCTAAGGACATCAGGCAGGCCCCATCGCTAGGAGGAGCTTGAAAACGTTGTTGTTCCAGTGTGCCTTCCCAGAATAAGGAAACTCCAAGCCTTATGTCCCCAATGCACTTTATCAGAGATCCAGGATATCTGCATACCCATCCCCCTCCATCCCCCTCACCTGGTCATGCCCAGCACTTTTTAATTTTAATTGTTACATTTGGTTCTGACATAGATTTTTAATTGCATCATTGTGTGTTGTTAATGTTATTGCCTTGTTTTTTGAGTTATTTTGCTGTATTGTTGTTGTTTTTTACTGTTGTATTTGGGTTTGGCCTCATGTAAGCTGCACTGATACCTTCGGGAGATGGTTTATTATTATTATTATTATTATTATTATTATTATTATTATTAAGGATTATTATTATTATCATCATCATCATTATTATTATTGCCAATTTGGACAAGCTCATAGTTGCATTTAAACCAGTTACTGGATTTTGGCTGTTGTTTGGAAAACAAGCTCCAGGTGGCACCAAAGAGTCATAGACAGAGTGTTAAGGTGCCTTAGCAGAAAAGTAGGGTGACCAGAGGAAAGGCCAAAGTCCACCCTGTAGCTCAAGGAAGGAATACTACGGCTGAGAGCCCTCCACAGCACTCTCAGCCAACACCTGTCTTGCCCTCCTCCAAGCATAATGCCAAGAGGACAGCCTGCGGATCGGGGAGGAGGATCGGGACGGGCAGCATGTGGGGAGCAGCCCTGTCCTTATACCAGGAGGACAACCTGAGGGTGACCCAGTTCCTGCTCTGCTCTTTCCTGGCGCTGCCCTCTCCCAGGCCCACCCCCTCCCTCCTGGCCCAGCCCGCAATGTGGCCCCAAGACAAAATAAGTTTGCCCATGCCTGGCTTAAGCAACTGAGGGTGAAAAGGAAGGGGCCCGAGGCTGTTCGGAATGGTGGGAGCTTAATAATAATAATGATAATGATGATAATAATAATAATAATAATAATAATAATAATAATAATAATAATACACTTATTAGGTAAACAGTGTGCTGGGCTGACAGTCAGGTGCTCACACCTACCCGGAGCTTCGAACTGGCAACCTTAGGTTGGTAGATCTTATTGCTGCTGATGATTTATCAGCCCAGCCCTTATATCCTGCATATCAGATATTTGAAGTCCAAAAATCCTAGAGGGCCAGAGTTTGTCCATGCTTGATCTAGCTTCACATGTGAATTACGCTTCCCATTGACAACACCTATCCACAATATCCACAATATCTTACAATATGTGGATATTATGCATAAACCCGTTTGGTTCTGCTTTACACGAAGCCGGTTATGACCCAAAAGAACATAAATACACACGAATATATGCCTCTATGCTAGGACTCAACGCTGCGGCTATGCTATGACCTACTTTGATTATGATGAACAATGCATGTGTTCATACGCAGGAGCTCTACGTAAGGATGAGGGTGTCAATTATTCATGCGCAGTCCATGTTAATGCAGGATTTCAGCAATCTCTTTTATAATTCAGAGGGCAGGGTGGTCCCAAGGTGGGCTCCGATGCTCCCCAGGGGCCCCCCTTCATGCTCAGGTGAGCAAAGCCGAGAGATGTGGCTGGCTGGAGAGACAGGGAAGGAAGGAGGGAAAGCGCTCGACTGGAATGGCTTCGGAGACGGAACACAAGCCAAGGATGTAGAGAGAGGGCTCCGGGCCCCAAAGACTGGGGGCGGCAGGAAGGGGACACAATAGAACAGTGGTTCTCCACCTTCCTAATGCCACAACCCCTTAATGTCGCTCCTCATGTTGCGGTGACCCCTAACCATAAAATTATTTTTGTTGCTAATTCATAACTGCAATTTCGCTATTGTTATGAATTGTAATGTAAATATGTATTTTCAGTCACTGGACCAAATTTGGCACAAATACCCAATACATCCAAATAGGGTTGAGGGGGGTTGATTTTATCATTTGGGAGTTGTAGTTGCTGGGATTTATAGTTCACCTACAACAAAAGAGTATCCTGAACTCCACCAATGATGGAATTGAATCAAACTTGGCACACAGAATTCCCATGACTGAAATTACTGGAAGGGTTTGGTGGGCATTGACCTTGAGTTTTGGAGTTGTAGTTCACCTACATCCAGACAGCACTGTGGACTCAAACAATGATGGATATGGGCCAAACCTGGCATGGATACTCAACATGCCCAAATGAGAACACTGGTAGAGTTTGGGGAAAATAGACCTTGACATTTGGGAGTTGTAGTTACTGGGATTTATAGTTCACCTACAATCAAAGAACAATCTGAACCCTACCAACGATAGAATTGGACCAAACTTCCCACACAGAACCCCCATGACCAACAGAAAACACTGTTTTCTCTTATGGTCTTTGGCAACCCCTTTGACACCACCTTGCAACCCTCGCAGAGGTCCCGATCCCCAGGTTGAGAAACACTGCGAAAGTCTACCTTTTTGGCACCCCACACGAAAGGAGAGAATCCCAGAGAACAGGGCAAGACAGACCACCAAATTCACCAGCACAGGGATGAAAACTGCACTACTAGCAGCCCTATCTTGTACAACCAATAGTGAGGAATGCTGGGATCTGAAGTTCAACAAAATCTGGAGCGGTTTTTCTCAACCTACTTAATGCCGTGACTCCTTAATACAGTTCCTCATGGTGCGGTGACCCCCAACCATCACATTATTTTTTTTTGCTACTTCAGAACTGTAATTTTGCTACTGTTATGAATCATAATGTAAATATCTTATATGCAGGATGCATTCTCATTCACTGGACCAAATTGGGCACAAATACCCAATACGCCCAAATTTGAATACTGGAGGGGTTTGAGGAGGATTGATTTTGTAATTAGAAAATTGTAGTTGCTGGGATTTATAGCTCACCTACAATCAAAGAGTATTCTGGACTCCACCAACGATAGAATTGAACCCAGAACTCTCACGACCAACAGAAAATACTGGAAAGGTTTGGTGGGCACTGACCTTGAGTTTTAGAGTTGTAGTTCACCTACATCCAAGGACTCAAGTTAGGATGGATCTGGACTAAACATGGCATGAATACTCAATATGCCCAAATGTGGACACTGGTGGACTTTGGGGAAAATAGACCTTGACAGTTGGAATTGAACCAAACTTGGCACCCAGAACTCCCATGACCAACAGAAAATACTGCAAGCGTTTGGTGGTCACTGACCTTGAGTTTTGGAGTTGTAGGTCACCTACTTCCAGAGGGCACTGTGGACTCAAACAATGATGGATCTAGACAAAACTTGGCACGAATACTCAATATGTCCAAATGTGGACACTGGTGGAGTTTGGGGAAACTAGACCTTGGCATTTGGGAGTTCATTTTATTTATTTATTTATTTATTTGCTTTATTTCTATACCGCATTTTTCAGCCTAATTAGGCGACTCAATGCCTAAGTCGCACCGAGTCCCTTGGGGAGATGGTAGTGGGGTACAAATAAAGTGTTGTTGTTGTTATTATTATTATTATTATTATTATTATTATTATTATTATTATTATACACAGACTGGGCCACAGCAATGTGTGGCATGGGACGACTAGTAATATATAAGGGTGAAGTCAAAACACCACTGAAAACACAAGCCAGTCCAAAGGGTTTTGAGCGATTCAACAGGATCTTACTGGAAAACAATGGAGTTATAATTTTTGACTGGCACCTCCCCACTTGCAAAAGCATTCTCGTCCCTCTTCCTACAACCGCTGCCCCAAATCTCCCACCCTTTCCTATGTACTTGGAGAGGCTGCCGCTTGGCTGAGCACTTGCTTCAACCTGACTGGTTAATCGTTATCATTTATTCATCCAAAGAGCCCCTGCTTTTCGGAGACGGCCGTGAAACTGGCCTGCCTAATGGAGCAGGTGCATCCGCGCAGCCCCACTCCCAGCAGGCCCCAAAAGGAAGGTCCTCCCCATCAGGTGCCAAAGCGTCTCTTGGAAGGAAGAGAGGCTGCTCTTGACAGCTTGCGCTCCTGTGCAAATGCACGCCCTGGCAGCGCAAAGGAGGAGACACAACAGATGGCAATGACCCAGGGCAAACCGAGAACGAAAGGAGTTGTGATCGTGCAAGTGAGCAGACGTTGCCACCGGACTGGCGACTATGCTCCGGTCCCTGTTATGAAGGCCATGGGAAAGCATTCACTATCACCTGTTTCTATTGTTTCTCTTTCATTAAGGAGAGTAAATGTATTGTGGAATCACTGAGTTGTTGTGGGTTTTTTCGGGCTATATGGCCATGTTCTAGAGGCATTCTAGGGTGGGAAAGACCCACCCTGGTCTTTCTACAGATATATAAACCCATTTTTCTAGTTCCAACAGACCTCACTATCTCTGAGGATGCTTGCCATAGATGCAGGCGAAACGTCAGGAGAGAATGCCTCTAGAACATGGCCACAACAACCCAAGGAGACTTTTGTACTGGCATATTGTGTGTTATGCTGACTGTCCGTCTTCCTATTGCGCAATATGAATAAACCGCGTTTTGCCCTGACTTGTTTGGACTCTGCTTCATCCAAAGTGGTTTAGCCAAGGACCCGGTTGTTGGTAAGATTTGGGAATACCAGCGAGATTCCCCTACAAGAATGCACTTTACTATTGGTTTAGGGTGGACTGCGTTCCCTCATTTCTTTTAAAAACCCTATACCAGATATAGCCTACCTTGTTCATGCCCAGCGTTTATTTTTTGAATTATAAACTATTACATTTGGCCCGACCACAGGTTTTTAAATCCTTGTGCATTATTGTTTATTGGTTATTGTTTATAGGTGATTTATATTAATTGTATTGTATTTATTGTTTTTGTTTATTGCTTTTGTTTTTATTGATGTGTTGTTGGGCTTGGCCTCATGTAAGCCGCTCCGAGTCCCTTGGGGAGATGGTGGCAGGGTATAAATAAAGTTTTATTATTATTATTACACATACAACGATACACTTGTGTATACCCCCAGGGGCGGCTCAACCCATTACGCAAAGTAAGCATTTGCAGTATAGTTGATTTTGCACAGGGGCGCTTTTGAGGTGCTCTTGGGAGAAAATAGACCTTGACATATGTGAGTTGTAGTTACTGGGATGTATAGTTCACCTACAATCAAAGAGCATTCTGAACTCCACCAATGATGGAATTGAACCAAATATGGCACACAGAACTCCCACAACAAACAGAAAATATATATCAGTGATTGGTTGGGGGCACCAAAATACTTTTTGCTTACCGTTGAAAATTACCTAGGGCCACCTCTGTATACCCCACTCTGTGGACTCTGGGAATAAGTAGTAAAGATCACACACCATCCACCTCCATGCAGTAAAGAGTCAACACACCACTGAGTACAATTCATATATTATCCAGTTTCACATTCTCATAGGATATAGCAACTTATTCTCAAGGATTTTAATACAAGTGAGACAGCCATGGTCCAATATAATACTTAAAGCACTTCCAAATACCAAGCAATAAAATGTCAACGAAAAATTGCACAATTTCTTGTTACTATGCCTGACTGAATCAGTTACAGAAAAAAAGTCTTTTTTTCTCTCTCTCTCTTCAAGCTTTTAAACTGAACATTAAACTTATTTTACAGATTACAGTTTCTCTTTAATAATAATAATAATTAATTAATTGCACAAAACCACACAAAATCTTTTTTTATGATGCATAAATATTTCCTTATTACACATGGTACAAAAATACTCGTACATCTTTGTTCGATATTCCCATAAGGATGGCTGATTATTTGGCAAGACTGGATTCTCTCCAATCAGAGGGATGTGGAAACAACAACAAAACAAAAAAGGTTAAATATTTTACAGATGTTCTATATATAGAAGCTTGACAGAAAAACGAAAAAAAAAAAAACGAAACACAACCCTGACTTGAACTGGAGAAGGGGGAAAGTGGACAAGGAACCCAGTGCATTGTACTTTTGGAGAAGGAAAGTCGAGTCAAAGAAGGAAAGGAAAAGACTGAAAAGGAAACGCAAACCAGGACGAGGCCAAACTAGGAGAGTGTTTTGCAGAAGCCAAGTCTTCACAGAAGCAAGATGGGGAAAAAAGAAAACTTCAGTGATCAATAGCAAGGCCAAAACCCGCTGCTATGGTGACACAGAACAAAAACAAGCTTTGCACACTCACGCACGCACACACCCACCGAGTTTGAAAGTGTTCTAAATTCATGCCAGAGAAAAAAACATGCAAAAACCGACTTGTCTTTCGCTCCCGTCGGCGGAACCGCATCGACAAGGTTTAGGGATAAGAAAGGCTTGGGTTATTATTGCACTGTACACGGCTAGACCACGTTTCATGCCAGCGTCTCGGCTGGGGACACAAAAGGGGTCTCGCATCGGGAACTGGTCTCTCCAAGGGAGGGGAAACTCAGCAATGGGAGGCAGGCGGGCGGGCAGGCAAGCGGGCAAGCAAGCAAGGAGCGGACACGGACCATGCAGCCGAGGACATTGCGGGAAGAGGAGGCCGTTCACAGTCTCGGGATGGGAAGCCCACGGAGTCGTTTGTTCACGGAAAAAGGGAGTGTTACTGCAATTGGGCACCTTGCCGGCGTCCACAGGAAGGGGTTGGAGGGAAGGTTTCCAGCGATCCACAGACTACTTCATCCCTGGCACATCGCTCCACGGAGAGACAAGGGAGGGAAATGTGGGCCAAGAGGCGAGTCTTGGGGGGAAAGAAAAGAGCAAGGACACATCATAGACGGCTTGTGCATCGTAGCATGGAAGGTGAGCAACTTCCACTCCTAGCCCCCTGTATCTGCTTTAGGATTGAGCGGCGTTATTCTACACCAGTGGTTCTCAACCTGTGGGTCACCAGGTGTTTTGGCCTACAACTCCCAGAAATCCCAGTCAGTTTACCAGCTGTTAGGATTTCTGGGACTTGAAGGCCAAAACATCTGGGGACCCACAGGTCGAGAACCACGGTTGGTTCTACACACAGCACTGGTCTACAGCCACAATGGCGCAATGACTGAAGGACTGAAGACTGACAGGTTGGAGGTTCAAATACAGGGAGAGCATGGACGAGCTCCTTCTGTCAGCTCCAGCTTTCCATGTGGGGACATGAGAGAAGCCTCCCGCAAGGATGGTAAAATATCCAAACATCCAGGCACCCCCTGGGCAACGTCCTTGCAGGTGGCCAATTCTCTCACATCAGAAGCGACTTGCAGTTTCTCAATTCGCTCCTGACACAAAAAAAAATGGTCTACAAAACTCCTGCGAGCCCACATACAGCAAAACAAGACACTCACTAAATGTTGTACATCAGGCATGGGCAAACTTCGGCCCTCCAAGTGTTTTGGACTACAATGCCCACAATTCCTAACAGCTAGTTTGCCCATGCCTGTTGTACAACATATCCTTCAATGGCATGGAAGGTAGATAACTCCCACTCCTTGGGTTGTTATGAGATTTTTGGGCAGTATGGCTATGTTCCAGTAGCATTCTCTCCTAACATTCCACCTGCATGTGTGGCTAATGGCATCTCCAGAGGTTCTGTTGGCAGTGAAGCAAGTGGAGTGTGTATATACTTGTGGAATGTCCAGAGTGGGAGAAAGAACCATTGTTTGTTTAAAGCAACTGTTGCAATAAATAATAATAATAATAAATAATAATAATAATAAACAACTTTATTTATACACCACCACAATCTCACCAAAGGGGACTCAGGGCAGCTAACATGAGGCCAAGCCCAAAATTACAGTACAGCAAAATAAAATACAAGAAGCAAAAACACCATCATTATTAAAAACCAGTGTTTATTTTCACTACAGCTTGCTAATTGCGTGTATACACACACATACACACACACACACACACACTTGCCTCACTGCCAACAGAAAATCTGAAGATGTCAGCCACAGATGGAGGCAAACCATTAGGAGAGAATGCTGCTGGAACAAGGCCATACAGCTCGAAAAACTCACAGCAACCCAGTGATTCCAACCATGAAAGCCATCAACAATACACTCCCACTCCTTGTTCCCGTATCTCAGGGTGCATCTACACTGTAGTTTTGATGCTACTTCGACTGCCATTGCTCAATGCGATGGGGTGATGATGAAGCACCAGCACTCTTTGGAGGAGAAGACTTGACAAACGACAACTCCCATGTATTGTCAAAGGCTTTCATGGCTGGAATCACTGGGTTGTTGTAGGTTTTTTCAGGCTATATGGCCATGTTCTAGAAGTATTCTCGCCTGCATTTTGGCAAGCATCCTCAGAGGTTGTGAGCTAACCTACAATCAAAGAGCATTCTGAACTCCACCAACGATGGAATTGAACCAAACTTGGCACACAGAACTCCCATGACCAACAGAAAAGACTGGAAGGGCTTGGTGGACATTCACCTTGAGTTTTGGAATTGTAGTTCCTAGCTTGAGTCCAGAGACTCAAGCTAGGATGGATCTGGACCAAACTTGGCACGAAAACTCAATATGCCCAATGTGGACACTGGTGGACTTTGGGGAAAATAGACCTTGACATTTGGATTTGAACCAAACTTGGCACCCAGAACTCCAATGACCAATAGAAAATATTGGAAGGCTTTGGTGGGCATTGACCTTGAGTTTTAGAGTTGTAGTTCACCCACATCCAGAGAGCGCTGTGGACTCAAACAATGATGGATCTGGACCAAACTTGGCACGAATACTCAATATGCCCAAATGTGGACACTGGTGGAGTTTTGGGGAAATAGACCTTGACATCTGGGAGTTGTAGTTGCTGGGATTTATAGTTCACCTACAATCAAAGAGCACTCTGAACTCCACCAATGATGGAATTGAACCAAACTTGGCTCCTAGAACTCCCACAACCAACAGAAAATACTGGAAGGGTTTGGTGGGCATTGACCTTGAGTTTTGGAGTTGTCGTTCACCCACATCCAGAGAGCACTGTGGACTCAAACAATGATGGATCTGGACCAAACTTGGCACGAATACTCAATATGCCCAAATGTGGACACTGGTGGAGTTTGGGGAAAGAAGACCTTGACATCTGGGAGTTGTACTTGCTGGGATTTATAGTTCTAAAATCAAAGAGCACTCTGAACTCCACCAATGATGGAATTGAACCAAACTTGGCTCCCAGAACCCCTACAACCAAGAGAAAATACTGGAAGGGCTTGGTGGGCATTGAGAGAATGCTTCTAGAACATGGTCATATAGCCCGAAAAACCTACAACAACCCAGAGAACTCCTATGCTTCCTTCCTATTGAGCCACGACATTGAAGTGGTGTCAAACTGCATTCGTTCTACAGTATAGATTTACTTTCAGGCAAGTTTTAGGGCCAAGTAGCACTATTCCAGGTGCAGAACTGTTCTAGAAAGCCCAACCGTAGGGGAGAGTGTCTCCGGCAAGCCCACATACAGCAAAACAAGATACTCACTAAAACTAACAGAACTGACGAGACTTCCATCCTTGTTGGGTGGCTTCGGACGGAGGATACCAGCGCATCTAGAAGAGAATGACAGGATGTGACAGGCGGGGAGGAAAACAACCCAAGCCATGCAGATTTGGGTAATTCTGCATAGGACCTCTCCCCCAGTTCTCCATTAGCATCAGACATCGTTCATGCATCCTTCCCCATAGCCAGGCAGGAAGATGCACGGGGTAGAAACACAATTATTGTCCTCGCTGCTCACCAAGATGTCTTCAGATTCAATGACGTTCAAATAGCTTTAAATTCATGGGTCACGAAGCAAAACCCTGATTTTTTTTCCCAAAATGGTTTTGTTGCTTGGGTTAAATAATGGCACAAATGTGTTCAAATTGATGATGACTACGTCAAATTGTAGTTTTTGGAGGACAGTTCAGGCTACGATCTGTACCAAATCTTGCTGTTAAAAATTCATTCATAACGTTTAATGACAAAGGAGGCAAAACCTTTTCACCCACCCTCTTGTTTGTATTTATATATATACATATACATAATTAAAAGGTCAAGGTTTCCCCCTGACATTAAGACTAGTTGTGTCCGACTCTGTGGGTTGGTGCTCATCTCCATTTCTAAGCCAAAGAGCCGGCGTTGTCCATAGACACCTCCAAGGTCATGTGGCCAGCATGACTGCATGGAGCACTATTACCTTCCCGCTGGAGCGGTACCTATTGATCTACTCACATTTGCATGTTTTCAAACTGCTACATTGGCAGAAGCTGAGGCTGTCAGTGGAAGCTCACCCCGCTCCCCAAATTCAAACCACCAACCTTTCAGTCAGCAAGTTCAGCAGCTCAGCAGTTTAACCCGCTGTGCCACCAGGGGCTTCTATATATATATATCATATCATATCATATCATATCATATCATATCATATCATATCAAAGGCATGGGATAAATTAGTATAAAACCAATAAAAATGGAAGAAGCACAAGTGGCTAAATGTCTTTTGACCAAAAAAGGCCAACAGCAACCACACTGTCTGTAGCTTTTATATATAGTAAAGGTAAACCACTAGGTGGGCAGAAGCTGGGGCTGACTGTGGAAGCTCACACCACTTTCCAGATTTGAACCCTCGACCTTTTGGTCAACAAGTTTAGCAGCCCAGCGGTTTAGCCCACTGTGCCACCACGGGCTCCAACAATATACATATACATTAGGCATGTGCAATCCATGGTTCTAAATGTTTCTAAAGTACTTACAAAACTAAAGTTCTGGTGGTGAAAACTAGAGGGCGCAGGTGCTTTGCTTCTACAGTGTTGCTAAAGTTCTGGTGGTGAAAATTTCAGAACTCTAACAAAACTTTCAAAATTTCATCATAAATGGCAGTTCCTAATAGGTTCTGTCATAAATATAATCAATAATGAAATAATAATGAAATTTTGAAAGTTTTGTTAGAGTTCTGAAATTTTCACCACCAGAACTTTAGGAACACTATAGAAGCAAAGCACCAGCACCCCCTAGTTTTCACCACCAGAACTTTAGTTTTGTAAGTACTTTAGAACCATGGATTGCACATGCCTAATATACATATACATTGCAGTCATGCCGGCCACATGGCCTTGGAGGTGTCCATAGACAATGCTGGCTCTTTGGCTTAGAAATGGAGATGAGCACCACACCCCAGAGTCGGACATGACTGGACTTCATGTCAGGGGAAAACCCTTAACTTTACCTATACATATACATACACACACAAACTGGAAGAATCTGTTTGCCTGGAGCCAAGACCCAACCCTCCAGAGTGCTTCCCACCAAGACTATCCATGTTTCACACTTCCATTCCTTTCTCCCTCCTTCCCACCAACATCACCACCCTCTTTCAAGCCTCCGCTTGTAAGCATTTCCCAGATTCCGGCATCCATCTCCCCCGCACATCTGGAACTAGTTTGGTCCATTCTGTTCAACAGCTCAGTGCAAATGGGAAGCTTCGCTTGCTAGGCTGCACAGTGCTCTTTAACCCTGGGAAGAGAAGCCTTAACCCACTGGAACGGCAGCATCCTGCGAGCCACAAATATCCGGTCCATCCCAAAATGCAAGCGGCCCAACGGCTGGCAATAAGCTATTTGTGCTAGAGAATATATCAGTTTATCTCCGGGTCACTTTGGAAATCTCTTGCCCATTTTAGGACTGTTCCTTTCTTGTCTTAGTGGGTGGAATTTTCTCTCCAATAAGACTACTGTTGTCATCTACTTTTCAACTTACAGAGCTCATTTACTTTTTTTCTTTGAAATGTGGTACATTTTCAAAAAAAATGTAACCTACTGATGCCTCAATTAATGTAATTTTATTGGTATCTATTTTTATTTTCAAATTGAACAGTAGCTGCTGCATTTCCCACCCTCGGCTTAGACTCGAGTCAATAATTTTTCCTAGTTTTTTGTAGTAAAATTAGGTGCCTCGACTTATATTCGAGCTGGCTTATTCTCAAGTATATACGGTAACTATAACCATAATCATCACCACTACCATCATAATTTTCAGTATCTATTTTCATTTTGAAATTGACCAGGAGCTGTTGCCTTCCCCACCCTCAGCTTAGACTCAAGTCAATAATATTTCCCAGTTTTTTGTCGCTAGTGCCTCGGTTAATATTCGGCTCGGCTTTTATTCGAGTATATATGATAACTATAAGCATCATCATCATCTCTATCATCGTAATTATTATTAGGAAGTATTTTTATCTTGAAATTTACCAGGAGCTGCTGCATTTTGGCTTAGACTTGAGTCAATAATGTTTCCCAGTTTTTTTGTCGTAGTTGCCTCGGCTAATATTCGGCTCGGCTTATATTCGAGTATATTCGGTAACTATAAACATCATCAACATCTCTACCTTCATAATTATTATTTGGAAGTATTTTTATCTGAGGGTGCTGCATTTCCCACTCTCAGCTTAGACTTGAGCCAATAATTTTTCCCAGTTTTTTTGTCGTAGTTGCCTTGGCTAATATTCAGCTCGGCTTATATTTGAGTATGTTTGGTAACTATAAGCATCATCATCATCATCACTACTACCATCATAATTTTTAGTATGTATTTTTTATTTTGAAATTTACTAGTAGCTGCTGCATTTCCCACCCTCGGCTTAGACTCGAGTCAATAATGTTCCCCAGTTTTTTGCCTCGGCTTAGACTCGAGTATATACGGTAGCTATCATCATCACCACCATCATAATTATTAATAAAAGAGGTAGATATGACACAGGATCAGCGAAAGAGGGAGGAGGAATTACCGAAGAGAGCAGGGAAAGAGGATATTTCCTGAAAGGGTTTGGATACAAGACCATGAATATGCAGATAAGATCAAAGAAAACTGAAAAATCTCAAGACTTCCAGGACTTCCAATACTTTTTTGTTTTTCCTTTCTGGACAAGCCCTAAAACGAGGCAGGAAAAGAAAACAATTTTAACAACATTTACTGGTTTTGTAAGGAGAGAGGCTGTGAAGGAAGATTGTTCAGGCTCCGGTCAAGGAAGGGGGTTTGCCTCCCTTGACGGAGTCCACAGCGTGACTGACGTGCGCCAGTTGACGGTGCGGGAAGGAAAGGTCAATCTGTGTGTGTGTGTGTGCTGTTGTTGAGGCTAAGGCTACCACCACAGCCCCCTCCCTCCCGCCACGTGACTCTGGTGAGTGAAAAAGGTGGGTGGCAAAGAGCCCGCCCCCCGAAGCCCCCCACGTGGCCGCTTGGCCGCCTTCTCCTCCTCGCTGAGGCCCCGTCCCTCCCGCCGGCAGGAACAACCCATCGCTGCGCAGCGGGAGCGCCCTGGACCCAAGAGGTGCCATGCTGTGGTGCCATGTCATGTGCGCCAAGTTGGCAAAGAGGTGGGTTAGAGAAATGCCTGGCATTTCAAGTTTTGCCTGGGCTTTGGGTGTGTGGATAGCGTGGAGGCCCATGCATTCGGAGGATGGCTAAGGAAGAGACGGGGCAACAAAAAAAAAGCTTGCGGAAAAAAACCCCACCGTGGTGCCCAAAGAGATGTTGCATTACCTTATTTTTTTCCAGACGGGGCCCACCATCCTTAAAGGTTTCTAGGAATGAAGCTGCTGTACAGCCACTCCTTCCTCTCTAGCGGGGACCAGCCAGGACTAGGCTGCCCCACGCTTCCAGGGCCAGCTCTGAGCTTCAGGGCTGGCCTGCGGAGTAGTAGGTAGGTGTCTGTCTGGCTGCGGGTCACTGAAGACATCAAAGGAGGGATCATTTCAATCACTGGCTGGCCACCGCGGAGCCCCTTGGGGAGCCCAAGGGACTCCTCCGACAGCCACATTCCCCTTGACCATGGGATGCAATGGGAGAGCAACTCCTACTTGGGATGGCGCTAGAGAGACCTCAAGCAGAAGGAGATGGAGAGGTATTGTCGAAAGCTTTCATGGCTGGAATCACTGGGTTGTTGTAGGTTTTTTTCGGGCTATATGGCCATGTTCTAGAGGCATTTTCTCCTGACGTTTCGCCTGCATCTATGGCAGGCATCGTCAGAGGTTGTGAGGATGCTTGCCATCGATGCAGACAAAAAGTCAGAGGAGAAAATGCCTCTAGAACATGGCCATATAGCCCGAAAAAATCTACAACAATCCAGAAATGGAGAGGCTTTGAGCATTACTCTTTGGGCCCTTGGCAAAGTCCGTAGGGAGAGCCCAACCCTGAGCTTCCTTCTTTAGTTGCAACAGAGCCATGTGGATGTTTTCTTCCTCTGCCATTTGTCCATTCGTTCAACTAAGGGACTTCATGTAAAGGAGCACATTGATTCCTGAGATGTTCTGGCAAGTTTGAGGTCATCAGCAGGTACCTGCTCTTTGCAGACCTTTCTACGAATAGCTTTCGTACAATTATATTTTTCTCTGCACCTAATCTCACTCCTAATTATAATTAGGCTGAGCTGAAGAGTGGGGGAAAGCATAGGGTAAATAAATATATAATAGTCCCAATTTACTATCTGATCCTTAGTTGGTTATATATGAATAATATAATATAATATGTATTATGGTCCCATTTACTATGGCATCCTTAGTTGGTTGGGTCCCATTTACTATCTGATCCTTACTTGGTTATATATGAGTAATATAATAATATAATATAATATAATGTGTATTATGGTCCCATTTACTATGGCATCCTTATTTGGTTGGTTCCCATTTACTATCTGATCCTCAGTTGGTTATATATGAATAATATAATATAATATAATGTGTATTATGGTCCCATTTACTATGGCATCCTTATTTGGTTGGTTCCCATTTACTATCTGATCCTCAGTTGGTTATATATGAATAATATAATATAATATAATATAATATAATATAATATAATATAATGTGTATTATGGTCCCATTTACTATGGCATCCTTGGTTGGTTCCCATTTACTATCTGATCCTTGGCTGGTTATATATTAATATAATATATATGATATGATATGATATAATATACAGAGTGGTCCCATTTACTATGTAATCCTTAGTTATAGATTAATATAATTATAATATGTAGAATAGTCCCATTTACTATGTGATCCTTAGTTTCTTATAGTTAATAATAATAATAATATATAATATATAATAATATAATATGTAGGATAGTCCCATTTACTATATGATCCTTAGTTGGTTATATATTAATATACGGTAATTATAAATATAATATAATATAATAAATATGTAAGATAGTCCCATTTACTATGTGATCCTTAGTTGGTTATATATTAATATATTTATAATATAATATAATATAATATGTAGGATAGCTCCATTTACTATGTGATCCTTAGTTATATATTAATATAATTATAATATAATATAATATGTAGAATAGTCCCATTTACTATGTGATCCTTGGTTGGTTTTATTATTATTATTATTATTATTATTATTATTATTATTATTATTATTATTATATAATATGTAGGATAGTCCCATTTACATTTGTGATCCTTGGTTGGTTGGGATATGCCAGATGACTAACCGAGAGGGATGATTCAGCCAGTGCCAACTTGGTGCTAAAACAGTTACAGACATGGAAGCTTTTTATTTAAGGTGTAAGCTTGTCCTCCTCCCCTCTGAGAATTACAAGGAAAATGGCAGACCGCAGGTCAGAGTCCTAACTGTGACCCATGAAAGCTTGCCTTGCTTGCACAGACTACTATCCTACCCTAGTTCAGCAACAAAGGGAATCACTTGGCTGCTCGTAAGCATGTTGCGGGGAGGGCTTAAGGAACCTCTTTGGGTTGTGCGTCCTTCGTAAACTCAAGAGTAAGTGCCTTGCCCTGACTTTAACTCACCAAACCTCCATCCAGTTTGTGTTTGGTGGAGGTTGTGAGCTAGCCGTTGCCTAGCGAGGAGGCCAAAGTAATGTTTAACACTATAAAAACTTTATTGGTAACACATTCATTTGTTTTAAGGGAAGAGCTTCCAGCGTTCGCCCTGCAGAACCCTCTCTCCAGATGGACAGCAGGAAAAACAAAACAAGACACACAAAAAACCCTACTGTTCTCATTTCTCCAAGTTATAGAAGCAGGGAAGTTACATCTGGCCAATGCTTGTGCTAATCTCCTTTCATGGGCAGAGCAACAGTTGCCTGAACAAGACCTCCCACGGAGGGAAACATCGTCAGCCAATGGGAATGATCAGCTTGAGATAGTTAATACAGAGAGGACTCCGAAGAGCGGGCAAGGGTTACACAACAGGAGGTCATTTGGGGAAATCTGCCAGATATTAAGCAAGTATATGTGCTGGAGGCTCCTTCTTTGGAAGCCTTTAAACAGAGGCTGGATGGCCATCTGTCAGGGGTGCTTTAAATGTGATTTTCCTGCTACTTGGCAGAATGGGGTTGGACTGGATGGCCCACCAAGTCTCTTCCAACTCTAGGATTCCATATTTTGGTGATAGTTTTGTACTGCGATGTGTACGGTGAGCCAATACATACTTAATGAAAATGTTTTTCAAAAGATTCACCTAAAAGTGGTATCTTTAATTATAAGTTTACTAGCCGTCCCCTGCCACATGTCTATGTGCTTTGTGTGTGTGTGTATGCGTTGTAATGTATTTTTTAAATTTTTGGCTTTTTAAGTCCCTTCAGTTGTGTTTTTCACTGTTTTTATGAGTGATGATCACTTGTTGGCCTGAGAGGTGTCTTGTGTCCAAATTTGGTGTCAATTCGTCCAGTGGTTTTTGAGTTATGTTAATCCCACAAACGAACATTACATTTTTATTTATATACATTGGAAATCACCTTAAAAGGCAGTTCAATTCCTTTTACCTTCAAATATGTATTTCTTGATATTTTTGAAAGTTGATCCCATTTGTGTGTGTGTGTGTGTGATTCAAATCAAATATTTTTCTCTCAATATTTGCATTGTTTGTAATAAAGTAAAAGTAAAGGTTTCCCCTGACATGAAGTCCAGTCCATTTCCCCTGACATGAAGTCCAGTCCGACTCTGGGGGTTGGTGCTCATCTCCATTTCTAAGCTGAAGAGCCGGTGTTGTCCTTAGACACCTCCAAGGTCATGTGGCCAGCATGGCTGCATGGAGCACCGTTACCTTCCTGCCGAAGTGGTACCTATTGATCTACTCAAAATTGCATGTTTTTGAACTACTAGGTTGGCAGAAGTAGGACCTACCAGCGGGAGTTCACCCCGTTCCTTGGATCTGAACTGCTGACTTCCGGCCAGCAGGTTCAGCATCTCAGTGCTTTAACCCGCTGTGCCACTGCAGCCCCTTTGCATTGTTCCTACAACACCTTTTCTAATTCTCAGATTTCTTATGGAGCAAAGAGAAGCAAAGAAGGTGACACAAGAGAATGAGAGGTGGTGTTAAAATATCAAAAAGGGAGGGAAGCCACTCTGAACAACAATTGTTCCTTTTGGTAAACCGTATGAATGCAACCCTGCACAAATCATGCAGGTGGCCCAAATGCCTTGGCTTTTCCCTGGAACCCTGGAAAGTTTTTAACTTGTTGGAAATCGCAACACTATTCACTTGCTAATGTATATATTTGCTAACCTGTATGTATTGTATGAGTACACTGAGATATATATATATATATATATATATATATATATATATATATATATATGGATGGCATGGGTAAACTTTGCCCTTTCAGGTGTTTTGGACTCCAACTCCCACAATACCAACAGCCTCACGTCCTTTCCTTTTAATAGGTAACTCAGCAGTTAAACTGATAAACCATGWATTTGAACTGCCAGGGACAAAGGCATGCCATTGCAYGAAAAGGAAAAGGAAAGGGCCTGAGGCTGTTAGGAATTGTGGGAGTTGGGAGTCCAAAACACCTGGAGGGCCAAAGTTTGCCCATGCCTGATATGCTGTATATACTCGAGTATAAGCCTAGTTTTAAGTCCTTTTTTAAGATGAAAATGTCTCCCTCGGCTTAAACTCAAGTTAAGGTTTTTTATTACTTTACTTTATTATTATTATTATTATTATTATTATTATTATTATTATTATTACATCAATCATTTTACTCTATTATTACTGTTATTACATTTCCATTATTTTAGTATTATTATTACATTTATTATTTTACTCTATTATTACTGTTATTATCACATTTCCATTATTTTACTCTGTTATTATTATATTTATTATTTTACTCTTATTATTACTGTTATTATTACATTTCCATTATTTTACTCTAGTATTATTATATTTATTATTTTACTCTATTATTACTGTTATTATTACATTTCCATTATTTTACTCTATTATTATTATATTTATTATTTTACTCTATTATTACTGTTATTATTACATTTCCATTAATTTACTCTATTATTATATTTATTATTTTACTCTATTATTGTTATTATTATGTTTCCATTATTTTATTCTATTATTATATTTATTATTTTACTCTATTATTATTGGAAGGATATGCAAACACATTTACACTGAAAAAGGTTAGAATAATGCTTTAATCAGTGGACAGTCTTATCTTAACTTTCAGTTTTATTCAAAAACATTTAACCTACCGATGCCTCAATTAATGCAGTTTTATTGGTATCTATTTTTATTTTGGAATTTACTAGTAGTTGCTGCATTTCCCATCCTCGGCTTATACTCGAGACAATCCGTTTTCCCAGTTTTTTGTAGTAAAATTAGGTGCCTCGGCTTATATTCGGGTCGGCTTATACTCAAGTATATACGGTATATGGATAATATAGGAACTCCTGTCTAGCCAGACTAAATTTAATTTTCAGTGCAAGGATCAGTATGACGGGCAGAAAGGACTGCAGTTCAGAACAATTACCAAATCCCAGCCAACCTTTTGAGTCTAGAGATTTCTTCTTTCTTTTGCAACAAAAGCTGCAGAGGGTTAAAACAAATGTGTAGGGCTATTGGGATGTCCATCCATCCTGGGAAGGAAGCTTTAAACAACACTGTTTAGCAACAGAGATCTGTCTGGACGCTTCCAAGAGAAGAGAAAGGCAGCTCTCCCTTCCTATCCACCCCAAAGAAGGGAAAGTGGAGGTACGGACTCACCTGAGCGTGAAGGGCGGCAGCGGCTGCGGCGGCAGCTGGATACGTGAAAGCGGCGTGTGGGATGGCAGGGGTCAACTCTGTGGTGTAGAGTGGATAGGGAGCCCAGGCCTCTGGAGATGCCGGGATCAGGGCTGCCCCAGTCAGGTCATCTGGAGAGACGAGGAGTGACAGACAGCACGTCAGCCTCTGCCCTGGTTGGTCAAGGGACAAGTGGCACCAGGGGCGGCTCAACCCATTACGCAAAGTAAGCATTTGCAGTATAGTTGATTTTGCCCAGGGGCGCTCGCTCTTGAGGCGCTCTTGGGGGAAAATAGACCTTGACATATGCGAGTTGTAGTTACTAGGATGTATAGTTCACCTACAATCAAAGAGCATTCTGAACTCCACCAATGATGGAATTGAACCAAATATGGCACACAGAACTCCCACGACAAACAGAAAATATATATATCAGTGATTGGTTTTGGGGGGGGGGGGGGCAAAATACTGTTTGCTTACCATTGAAAATTACTTAGGGCCACCTCTGATTGTGGGTGAGGGGGATTGATTTTGTCATTTGAGAGTTGTAGTTGCTGGGATTTATAGTACACCTATAATCAGAGATCATTATGAACTCCACCAGCAATGGAATTGCGCCAAACTTGGCACACAGAACTCCCATGACCAACAGAATATACTGGGAGGATTTGGTGGGCATTGATCTTGAGTTTGGGAGTTGTAGTTGACCTACATCCAGAGAGCACTGTGGACTCAAACAATGATGGATCTGGACCAAACTTGGCATGAATACTCAATATGCCCAAATGTGAATACTGGTGGAGTTTGGGGAAAATAGAGCTTCACATTTGGGATTTGTAGTTGCTGGAATTTATAGTTCACCTACAATTACAGAGCAATCTCAACTCCACCAACGACAGAATTGGGCCAAACTTCCCACACAGAATCCCCATGACCAACAGAAAGTAATGTGTTTCCTGATGGTCTTTGACATCCCCTCACGACCCCCTCAGGGGTCCCGACCCCCAGGTTGAGAAACACTGTGCTACACCATCCAACGTGGACTAAATGGGCAATTGGGACACACTAATAGGATCTCAGCCTTAGTGTGTAATATCCCCAGCTTCATCCTAACACAAGTGTTCCATAGCTGCACCCCACAAGTGAGCACCAGGAGGGAGTTTGCTACCATGTGGAGTGGCGCAAAGCAGCCTCAAGCAGTGGGAAGTGGCAGGTTTGCCTCTCGGGCAGGAGCACCCAACCCCAATGCGTTCCCATTCCCTGTGGATCTCCTCCCCTCCACCAACTCCTCACAAGGATCCCGTGCAATGAAGTGCGCTCCGAGTGCAGGGTGGAGGTTGGTAGGGTTCGGTGTGGCCATCAGCTTGCTTTTGGCCATCTTGGTGTTGGCTTTGGCAAACTCTAACCGCAGCGTCTGGGGGTTCTCCGGGTCAAAGCGGATGCCCTGCAGGAGGAGGAGACAAGGAGAGAGATTACAGCCTGCCCTCCATATTTGCTGGGGAACAAGACCATTGCAAAAGTGGCTTTTAAAAACTGGCAGGGATGACGGACTGACAGCAGACACACATCCCTATGGCCAGAACCAAGTACAGCCTCCAAGATGCCGAAAGATGGGAAAGCCTATATATACCTCTATTGATGTACAGTTGTCTGTCTTGTCAGTGTGTAACGGCATTGAATGTTTGCCGTATATTGTGATCCGCCCTGATTCCCCTTCGGGGAGAGAACGGCGGAATATAAATACTGTAAAACAACAAATATAAGTCCATGGTACTTACATTCAATGCGTTCTTTGCAGCTTCCGCACCAGATCGGCTGTCGAAGGTAACAAAGCCTACCGGCTAGGAAAGAAAACACCTGATTTTAGGTATGCATTCATGCACTATCTACCCAAGAGAAGTATTAATAGTCATGGCAAATAGCCAACAAGATGTTTAGCAGTATCGCCCAGCAAGAAGGACCCTGGAAGTAAGATTTGGCACCATACTCCTTTGGTAAATTGGGAGTATTTTGTTAACTTGGCAGATTTTTCCCATAAGTGTTTCAAAGTGTTCACTATAATAGTGTAGTTCACTCTAGTACACTACAATACAACAAGAAGGAGACAGAAGGCCTGGTTCTTGCACAGCCCAGGAGCAAGCCATGAGAACCAATGCCATTAAGGCCAGGATTGAAAAATCAGCGGGATGACCCAAAATGCAGACTGTGCAAGGAAGCGGATGAAACCATGGACCATCTCCTCAGCTGTTGCAAGAAAATCGCACAGACGGACTACAAACAGAGGCACAACTCTGTGGCCCAGATGATTCACTGGAACTTATGTCACAAGGACCACCTGCCAGCAGGAAAGAATTGGTGGAATCATAAACCCACAAAGGTAGTGGGAAATGAACACGCAAAAATACTGTGGGACTTCCGAATCCAGACTGACAAGTTTTGGAACACAATACACCAGACATCATGATTGTGGAAAAGAAAAAAGTTTGGATGATTGATGCCGCCATTCCAGGTGACAGTTGCATTGAGGAAAAACAACAGGAAAAACTCAGCCACTATCAAGACCTCAAAATTGAACTGCAAAGGCTCTGGCATAAACCAGTACAGGTGGTCCCAGTGGTCATTGGCGCACTGGGTGCCGTGCCAAGAGATCTCAGCCGGCATTTGGAAACAATAAACATCGACAAAATCACGATCTGTCAACTGCAAAAGGCCACCTGACTTGGATCTGCGCGCATCAGAAAGACATCAGACAGTCCTAGACGCTTGGGAAGTGTTCGACTTGTGATACGAAATCCAGCATATAGATCTCGTTTGCTGTGACATACTGTGTTTTTGTTTCAGTAAAATAATAATAATAATAATAATAATAATAATAATAATAATAGAATAATAATAATCCTGGTGGTGAAATGAGTTAAACCCTTGTGCCAGCAGGACTGCTGACCGAAAGGTGGTCGGCAGTTTGAATATAGGGAGCGGGGTGAGCTCCCGTCTGTCAGCTCCAGCTTCCCATGCAGAGACATGAAAGAAGCCTCCAACAGGATGGTAAAACATCCAGGCGTCCCCTGGGCAACATTCTTGCAGACGGACTATTCTCCCACACCAGAAGCGACTTGCAGTTTCTCAAGTCACTACTGACACAGAAAAAAAAATTATGCAAAAGTAAGGAGAATCATGTGATCCTTCAGAATGCAACTCCTTGCATTCATCACCATTGGCTAAGGCTGCTGGGAGCTGCAGTCCAACATCTCATGGACAGCCAACACAAGTCCTGCTCTGGCCCTACATAGAAGATCACAAAAATGCCAAAAGTGGGGAAAGGCTCTAGATGGGTTCGTTGAAGCAGCAGCTATAATTGAGCAAACGAAATTGCTCATCTCTATTTTAGTAACTCCAAAGCTAGGAATGGCATACCCCCCCCCCTCTTCCCTAATTAAAATATTTCATCCTAGATTCAAGTACTTAAGAGCAGCATTGGGCCAGCGCCAAGAGGAGGACTAAAGGGGGCATTACCTGTTTTGATGTTAGTTTGATCAGCGATCCTTCATAACCCTGAAAAGAGAGAAGCCGTCAACTTAGCTATTAGGCTCCTTAAAAGGAAAAGAAGAAGGGCTACGAGGCCAGCTCTATGCCCTTAAACAGCATAAGCAAGTGCCAGACATACTTTTCTAGGCCTTTGTAGCAAGCTAAAACTCATTGGATATTGTAAGTATTGCCAACACACACACAAAAGCTTGTCCAGGCACTTCCATCTGGTGCAAAGAAAGCACAGAATCTATAACAGGCATGGGCCAACTTGGGCCCTCCGGGTGTTTTGGACTTCAACTCCCACCATTCCTATCAGCCTCAGGCCCCTTTCTTTTCCCCCTCAGCCGCTTAAGCGGCTGAGGGGGAAAAGGAAAGGGCCTGAGGCTGATAGGAATGGTGGGAGTTGAAGTCCAAAACACCCGGAGGGCCCAAGTTGGCCTATACCTGATATAGTGTCGGACCACGGTCCAGTAGTTCTATACTTTGGCTAGCAACAGTATCCCCAGGGTCTCGGAGACAGATCTCCCAACCCTACAAACGTTAATGCCCAGTGTAACGGAATAACTACGAGGGTTGAATGATAAGTAATGCCTCCACCTTCATTACTTGGGTGTGGATGGGAATATTTTAATAAATCAAACGCAGAAATAATCCTTAGAATGTGCTCTTTAATAACCACTATTCACTTTTCCGCACAAACACCGGACAATCGGATACATTTCTGCCAACGATGAACAAGTTTTCTGAAGCCGTCACGGAAGAAGTCGACACAACCAGCGTCTCACAGTTCTCTCAACATCTTCATCAGAAGCATAATGATGTCCCCACAGATCTTGTTTCATTATCTGAGACAGATGGAAGTCAGATGATGCTAAATCTGGACTGTATGAAGGATGCCGTACAGTGGTAAGATCCAGTCTCTGAAGTTTCAAGTCTGTGCGCTTTCATTTCAGGCATCAGCATCCTGGGTACCCATTGTGCACAGATCTTCTGATAACCAAGCAAAGCATTAATGTGACCCACACATAATCACCAGACAACTGGATACATTTCTGCCAACGATGAACAAGTTTTCTGAAGCTGTCACAGAAGAAGTCAACATTCTGTCTCCACAACCAGCACTTCACCGTTCTCTCATCCTGGGTACCCATCATGCACAGATCTCCCGACAGCCAAGCAAAGCAATAGTGTGAACCACACGTTCTTGTGAAATGCTGAATATGCTTGAAATTCTCTCTGAGTGATACGGCGAACATCCTGAATCAATCTGTCAACCTTTTGCTTGTGAAAATTGGTGGTTGCGGTCACAGGATGTCCAATTCTTTGTTTGTCACGCAAGTCAGATGTTCCCACCTCAACATCTTTAAACTTTCTCACCCAACGACACACGGTACTCACATCATCACAATCACCATAAACATCTTGCATTCTCTGATTAATCTCCTTTGGGGTGATCCCTTCTGCTCTCAAGAATTCAATGACTGCATGTTGCTTAAGTCGCATTGAATGACCGTTCCATACTTCGCACTTTAACAACACAACAGTTCAATGGTAAGGCTTCCCACCAAAATGGAACTGTAGAGGAGAGTCTACTGAACAAGCCAGTACCTGCCGCATACCAGTACTGCCATCTGTTGAGTTACACAGGAGGAGGCATTGTTTTTCATTCAACCCTCTCCTATAATGGAGGTTTTACCTATGAGAATAAGTTACTGTCAGAATATTGATGGAAAGAAGTGTCTACAAGATATATGTTATCCAAGCAGAAATGTTATCCTTACATTTGAAAGAATAGGAAGTTACCTAACCAAGTTGACAGAAGTTAAACTTTTCTGAAAGTTATATAGTATCAGTTTTATGTATTCACAAAAGTAAAAGACAGACTTAACAATATCCAGGTGGAACTGAAGTAAAGTACTGTGTAACAAATTCGCTTTATGTGCACAAGAATTCATAAATAAACATTTCTTTGTTTCAACTAATATATCGGAGTCTCGTGTCAAGTTAGAAGATACATTCCTGGAAGTCGTCTGGAGATTATTTTGAAGCTACATACTGACTACAGTATTGGGTTATACATCAAAGAGATATATACAAACATTTATAATTGAACCCTGCAACAAACAAATATGAGAAAGGTGACACAGAAGGTTTAAGAATAAAAATAGAATATAAAAGAAAGAAGTATCCCTTCCTGCCAGAACGGTGTGTGTATGTATATGTGTGTGTGTGTATGTATGTATATATCCCACACCCAGTTAGCTATAGATGCTTGACAATGAACTTTTCATTGAATTATTGTTCCATTCCTAAACATTTGTTCTAATTCACTGCCAACCTACTTCACAAGTCAACCAACAGCTACATCCCTCAACCTTTCCATCTACTCACCTTGAATGGCCGGAAAAGCAGGTAAAGCTCTCTGGGTTTGATGTCCACAGGAAGGCCACTGACAAATAGTGTCCGTACCTAGGAGAGAAGGAGGACACCAAGCAGGTTCAGATTTCAGATACATCTATGGTACATGACAATGGTCATGACATCCATAGTTTAAGGTTCTTCAGCTATTAAGACATTTGATCTAGCAAATTTGTCCTTTGGATAATAGTTTTAAGAGAAATCGGCCCAGTAGGTTACAGACTTGTTCTGTGTAGTAACAACTGATATCTATGGTGATTAACTGATGTGGATGACAGCATGCGACATCCCTCTCAGAAGTTTGGAGATACAACCCAAAGAGAAGCCAAGAACCTCCAACAACCTGGGGGTCACAACCAGACACAGATAATAGCAAACTCTCGCTTGTCAACCTTGGACCCTTAGTAACAACCCACTGTTTAAATACCAGGACCTTGATATGCGCACTTCTTTCTATCTATATAAATAAAAATGTAATGTTCGTTTGTAGGATTATCAGAACTCAAAAACCACTGGATGAATTGACACCAAATTTGGACACAAGACACCTAACAACCCAATGTATGTCCCTCACTCAAAAAATTGATTTTGTCATTTGGGAGTTGTAGTTGCTGGGATTTATAGTTGACCTACAATCAAAGAGCATTCTGAAGCCCACCAATGATGGAATTGAACCAAAGTTGGCACACAGTTCTCCCATGACCAACAGAAAATACTGGAAGGGTTTGGTGGGCAGTGTCCTTTGGTTTTGGAGTTGTAGTTCACCTACATCCAGAGAGCACTGTGGACTCAAACATTGATGGATCTGGACCAAACTCTACATGAATACTCAATATGCCCAAATATGAACACTATTGGAGTTTGGGGAAAATAGAATCTTGATATTTGGGAGTTGTAGTTGCTGGGATTTGTAGTTCATCTACAATCACAGAGCATTCTGAACCCCACCAACAATAGAATTGGGCCAAACCTCCGACACAGAACCCCATGACCACCAGAGTGGGCCACAGTAACGTGTGGCAGAGCACGGCTAGTTACATATAAATTAATTCATCCATACAAATGATCAGCCACTGCCAGAAGGAACAGAGAGTTTCATCTATGCTGATGACTGTGCCATCACTACTCAAGCAGAGAACTTTGAAGTGATTGAACAGAAGCTCTCCGAAGCTTTAGGTGCTCTTACTGCCTATTACAGGGAAAACCAGCTGATTCCTAACCCCATCTAAATTGCAGACGTGTGCTTTTCATCTTAAGAACAGACCAGCATATTGAGATCTGAGGATTAACTGGGAAGGAATCCCACTGGAGTATTGCAGCAGAACAAAATACCTGGGAGTCACTCTGGACTGTGCTCTGACTTACAAGAAGTACTGCTTGAACGTCAAGCAAAAAGTGGATGCTAGAAATAGTATCATACGAAATCTGACTGGCATAACCTGGGGATCACAACCAGACACAGCAAAGACATCTGCCCTTGTGCTTTGCTACTCGGCTGCTGAGTACACATGCTGAAACAGTGGATGTGGCTCTTAATGAGACATGGCGCATTATCACAGGATGTCTACACCCTACACTGTTGGAGAAATTATATTGTTTAGCCGATATCACACCACATGACATCTGTTGGGAAGTAGCAGCCAGCAATGAAAGGACCAAGGCATTGAAATCTCCGGCCCAGCCCGGCCCATCCCTGTTCGGATATCAGCCAGCACACCAATGTCTTAAATCAAGTCACAATCTCTGAGGATGCTTGCCATAGATGCAGGAGAAACGTCAGGAGAGAATGCTTCTAGAACATAGCCATATAGCCCGAAAAACCTACAACCCAGTGATTCCAGCCATGAAAACTTTTGACAATACACTGACCCCGTAATCCACCTGTTTTTCAAGTACTTCAAAGATTGCAATCCACTGCAATTTGGCCCTTAACATATTATATACTTTTAGAAAATATATATAAATTACTTAATAATATAGTCATGAAGTCGGCTTATTAAAAAGCCCTCGAGTGACTTTTGTTAAAACCTGTAATTTAAATCTTTGAACCAAACTTAAGGTTATTTGCAGCAATTTTCGTTGTTCGTTATCCAATCAGATGGCGCTGCTACTTTTTAGGAAGCCTCCGTTCCATTCCTCTTGCATCAACCATTCCAGATTTCGGCCCTTGGCCCTGAACGAGGGCGCGATTTGCATCTTCATAACAACTTAGGCCTCTCATAAGGCATGACAATGTCCACGTTGCTCAAAAGGACCACAGTGAAAAAAAAGCAAAAGTTCTTTCCAAAGGGACCTGGCACAAGTCTCAACAAGTCAATCCGGAGATGGCCGGCGTCCAAGTCCAAGATGGCAGTCGTTCAGGTTTGCTCCCGTCGAAGAAAGAAATGCTGGAATGGAACACACTTTGCCTGGGATGACTGCATACAGGGCAGATCGACTCAGTGTAGTTTCAAATGGTGACCCCCACATCTGAACCCAAGGGTTTTCCATAAAGGGCACAACTCCATTATCACAAAATTGCATCTAAGCTGCGGTGGCGCAATGGGTTAAATCCTTGTGCTGGCTGAACTGCTGACCTGAAGATCAGCTGTTCAAATCCTTGAGAAGGGGTGAGCTCCTGTCAACTTCAGCTTCCCATGTGGGATCATGAGACAAGCCACCCACAGGATGGTAAAATATCCGGGCATCCCTGGGCAACACTGTGATGCGGCAGCTGAAAAGGCCAATGTGATTCTAGGCTTTGTGTCTATATCAAGGGAAGTAATGTAGAATATAGATAAGCAACGTCTATCATGTAAACAGTCCCTGCATCTAGTAGTAGACCGCAAGCAGAGCATGAGTCAACAGTCTGATGCGGCAGCTGAGAAGAACAATGCGATTCTAGAAGTAGACCGCAAACTGAACATGAGCCAATAGTGTGATGCGGCAGCAGAAAAAAGCTAAGTTGATTCTAGACTTAGTGTCTATATCCAAGGGAAGTAATATAGAATATTTATTTATTTATTTAGAATTTTTATATACCGGTCTTCTCGACCTCCGCAAAGGGACTCAGTCCGGTTCACAACAGAAGATTCATAAACAATAGTTTAAAACATCACATCCCATAATTCACTAAAACATTAAAATATGATCATATAATTATATAATGCCAAGTCGTCAAAATGAAGTCACAATTCATCACCATCCGTCCGTGTGGTCAGGAGTTATTGACTCACTCATCAAATGCTAAATTCCAGAGCCAGGTTTTCCGCAGTTTTCTAAAAGTCAGAGAGAAGGGGCAGATCTAATCTCCAGTGGGAGAGAGTTCCAGAGCTGAGGGGCCACCACCGAGAAGGCCCTGTCCCTCGTCCCCACCAAACGCGATTGCGAAGGTGGTGGGACCGAGAGCAGGGCCCCTCCAGAAGATCTTAACAACCTTGATGGTTCATAGGGGAGAATCCGTTCGGACAGGTAAATTGGGCCGGAGTCGTTTAGGGTTTTGTAGGTTAAAACCAGCACTTTGAATTGTACTCGGAAGCTAATTGGCAGCCAGTGGAGCTGGCACAACAAAGGAGTTGTGCACTCCCTGTACCCCACTCCCGTTAGTAATCTGACTGCCGAACATTGGACTAATTGCAGCTTCAGGGCAGTCTTCAGAGGCAACCCCACGTAGAGAGCGTTGCAGTAGTCTATACGGGATGTAACCAGAGCATGGACAACCGTGGCCAAGTCAGACTTCCCAAGGAACGGGCGCAGCTGGCGCACAAGTTTTAATTGTGCAAAAGCTCCCCTGACCACCACCGAGACCTGGGGTTCCAGGCTCAGAGATGAGTCCAGGATCACTCCCAGACTAAGACCTGCGCCTTCATGGGGAGTGTAACCCCGTCAAGCACAGGCTGTAACCCTATGCCCTGTTTGGCATAAGCAACGTCTATCATGTAAATAGTCCATGCACCTGGTAGTAGACCACAAGCTGAACATGAAGAGCTGGCATTATCAGTTTTTAAGATGTTTAACTGCAACCAAGCTTTTGTGCTTTCTTCTTTCATCTTGCTTAGAAGGCTCCTCAGCTCCTCCTCACTTTCGGCCATCAAAGTGGTGTCATCTGCATATCTAAGGCTGTTAATGTTTCTTCCAGCAATTTTCACCCCAGCCTTGCTTTCGTCAAGCCCCCCACATCGCATGATGTGTTCTGCATACAAGTTGAATAGGTTGGGTGACGGTATACGACCCTGCCGTAAGCCTTTCCCAGTCTTGAACCAGTGTGTTGTTCCATAGTCAGTAGTGACTGTTGCTACTTGGTCCTTATACTGTTTATATTACATTTAAAATATTGAATTGTTTTTATAATTGTTTTAACTGTAGCAGGTCCGAAGCTTGGGGGTCCTCCTGGACTCAACGGTGTCAGATGCTCAGGTGTCGGCGGTGGTGGGAAGGGCCTTTGCACAACTTAAACTCGTGCGCCAGCTACGACCATACCTCGTGAAGTCTGACTTGGCCAGCGTGGTCCACGCCTTGGTTACATCCAGATTGGATTATTGCAATGCGCTCTACGTTGGGCTGCCCTTGAAGACGGCCCGGAAGCTCCAACTGCTACAACGGGTGGCAGCCAGCCTCCTTACTGGAGCAAACTATCGGGAGCATACAACGCCCCTTTTAAAACAGTTTCACTGGCTGCTGATAAGTTGCCGAGTCAAATTCAAGGTGCAAGTTATGACCTATAAAGTCCTAAATGGTTCGGGCCCCGCCTATCTTTGCGATCGCATCTCCCTCTATGAACCAGGGTGAACTTTAAGATCTTCCGGGGAGGCCCTCCTTTTGCTCCCACCACCGTCACAAGCATGGTTGGTGGGGACGAGAGAGAGGGCCTTCTCGGTGGTGGCCCCTCGCCTCTGGAACGCCCTTTCCTGGAGAAATAAGACCGGCCCCATCCCTCCCCTCTTTTTGTAAGAGCCTGAAGACCTGGTGGTTTCAACAAACCTTCGAAAATCGCTGCTGACTGTGAACCGCCTGGAGTCGCCTCTGGCTGAGAAAGGTGGTATACAAATGCGGTACGTAAATAAACAATAAAT